ACAGGCCACCGCGGGAATTTCAGCCTTTCCGCAAAGTGGGAGCGCCTTAAGGATGGGGGGCATCACTGGGAGGTGTCACCACGTCCACCCCAGATCTCATCTGCCCCTTCGGGCGCCTGCAATAAGCGGAGCAGCCAGAGGCGCGCGTAGGCTCGACCCCCCCCTTCTGCCTCGGGCTTGAGCAGCGCCCAGGAGAGGAAGATTTGTGACAGCAGCTTACAATTACCCACGGACAGTTTTTTTAAGCATTCCCATTCTGATTACAGTTAATCGAAGCTTCTTACAAACATCAGATCTCTAGAAATTAGCCCCCTAGAAAGAGAGAGAGCAGGACAGATTGGGGGGGGGGTTGTTTTATTTTGATAGCTACCACATATGAATATTTTAATAACAGTTTAATACAATTTTAACTGAAAAGGAGAGGATCAAAAGTATTCTTGATGCACAGGGTTGTTTTTTTTTTTTGGCTACAGTGTGTCACATCCGTAACTAATTTAAATCACATCAAATGCTGAATTAAGCTTCTATCAGCTAAAGCTTTCCCTAGGCAAAAGAAATCTTGTGCTATTTAACTCTTTGTTATTTTTCTTAAATATAAGAATGGGTTCCAGACTAAAGACATAAGGCGTCCCTGTCTCCTTGCAGGCAACAACGACAACCAAAGCGAGGGGTTTTGCTTCTTTCCTGCTCTCAAGGCTAGCACCCTTCACTTAAACACTGGAAACCGTCCCAGTAAGCACAAAAAAGCGAGGCCTCGGGCTGGCTGCGGTACCTTTGGTTTTAGCAGAAAAAGAAAAATCTCTTCTTTCTGGTTTCAGAAACCCCAGCAGCGTCTGATTCCTAGATGCACGAGGCCTCCAACGCTCGTGCGCGAGGTGATCCGCCCTTGGTCGGAGTTTTGCTTTGCTGCGTGCAGATTATGGACATCTTGGGAAGGGAGAGTCTGTTTCCGCCTTCAATCAGCCCCTTTGCCGCTCGGGATTACGCTTTTCCAAGCTCGACGGCTTTAAACACAGAGCGAGGAGCTTACTGTGAAACAAAGGAAGTGAACACGTTTGCTCATCAAATTACTTGTTTCTGTTATAGAAAAATTTACATAAAGAATTGAATATTAAAACAGAGAATATCCTGGCTCGGGCTGTGGCTCAGGTAACGAGTATCTTGTACACCGCTGCAGGAGGCTATGAAGATCGAGCTCAAGAGACAGTTTATGCAGTTTCAGGGGAGTTTCTTCATCTCCAGCAGCTGGCGCACAGCAACAGGGAGATACAGGTGTGCCTGTGAGTCTGTCCTCCTTCACTAGCAAGGTCATCTGCAGAGGTGGAAGCACAAAACCCACCAACTCACCCGGTGATTTTAACTCAGTAGCGTGAGGAAAAACACCACGAAATTTTCTTTCAGCCAAACTTACCCTCAATTTAAACCAGGAAGGGAAGACGCCATGCTCCCCAAGTGGATTAATAACGATATTGGCTCAGATATAAAACAAGACTTCCCTAGAGAGCGTGTTGTTAACACCTGGTTTGAACAAGCAGCAACAGAGGGAAGGACGCTCCAGAGGCAGCTAACGACGTGGGGCAGGGAGCGGTCCACAGAGGGGAAGAGCTGGCTCAGCCCGTCCGCGTTTTAAGGACAGCTCCTTCCGAGTTTAGCGACTGATTGTGCGATAGCACTAAAAGAACAGGCGCCTCCGAGACGTTTCATCCAAGTCTCCAGAAGGAGCTTGGGCTGGTCGCTGGAGAGCCTGTAGCGCCTGGGGTTCACAGCTTGCACAAGCGTTCGGTATTCAGCCCATCAGACGTGTCAGCAAGGAGAACGCAACAGCTTGCTGCTAACCAAGCTCCAAATACGGGAAAAAAAACCCCAGATATACAGAAGCTGAATTACCAGTTCATGACCCACCATTTTTTCTGGCTTCTATTGACAAAAATCACCGAAGATGCTGTCGAAAGCATGATTCACCTTGCAATCATTTGTAGCCTTTCAGTTTCAAGGTGACTTTACCCATAGATGTTCTGACATATCAAAGCTTTTGTCTTGAAGACATTTCTAATAAACAACAGGCGCCAGCCCAAAAACCTTTTTCAGTCAAAGCAAGAGAAGCATCATCTTGAGTATTTGAACACAAAACACCAGACGCAACACATGAATGAACACTGCTCTTGTTAAAACCTTCCCAAAACGTTCCTGATGCATCATGAGCGAGTAGCACAATTTAGGGGTAGCATACAAAATGCAATTTCCGAAGTTGAGCAACTCTGTTCTGAATTAAACGTTTAGGCTATAATTGCTGCCTGTGATGTTCTCGAAATCAGAGCACAGACCTTTTAGCCTCAATTTTACTGTTGAACAGT